GATAAATAAATAAATTTGCTGATAACACTGATAACAATGATAGGAATGAAATTGCTAAAAACTACACTGAATCATTTCACTTCCATGATTTAACAATCGGTCAAGTCATTTGAGAAACGTGAAAACAAAGAATTCATAAACAATTTATACTTTTGAGCTTTTTTTGTGTAAAGCGTGACATTGCATGTAACTCGCACTCAATTACTACTGTTTTATTATTATTATTATTATTACTATTATTATTATTATTATTATTATTATCACTGTTATTACTATTATTACTATTATTATTATTATTATCATTAATTATTATTATTATTATTATTATTATTATTATTATTATTATTATTATATATTATTATTATTATCATTATTATTATTATTATTATTAATTATTATTATTAACTATTACTATTATTATTACTATTATTGTTATTATTAATAATCATTACCATTAATTATTATTATTAATTATTATTATCACTACTATTATTTTTACTATTATTATCATTATTATTATTTTATTATTATTATCATTATTATAGTGAACAATTTAAACAATAGGAAGAAGAGTGGAATATGTTTGAAGTGCTGAAAATTATGCACGAAATCGATAAGAAAGCAAATGAACATATTATATTTAATCTGGAGGGAAAAACAGAAAGGTTTACTGTTGATATTCGGAATATCATCCCGAAATAGTGTCATCCTTGTCAAGACGGAAAATGCTGTTTGTAATATTCTTCAGTATTAAAATTTCCGAAACATTTGCGCAAATTATACATTACATGGTGGCAGTGTGTAAGAAAGAAAATGCAAAATACTGTGGATTAGGAAATATGAAACCATAAAATACTGATGCTTCAGATTATATCACAAATAAAACATAACAAAGTCTATCCATTAATACCCGGGGAATGCTTTTGTTCTTGAATGTTCTGGAAATCTTCTGGGAGTAATTTTGTGCTAAATCATTAGATCATCGATTTAGTTGCCAATAAACAACACGACCATCACTTTTTGAGAACTCTTAATTTCTCTCCTATTTCCCTTGTTATATGTATAAGAATGCTATCTGTTTAATCAATAAACGATTAGTAACAATAAAAGATAGCAATTATTGATTAGGAGGGAAAAAAAATTTAGGAAGGAAGAAGATATCTAAACACTGCATATATATCACTATGGTAAATACTTATGATAGCTAGATGCTTATTTCCGAAAATTCAAAAAGTTGGACTATTACATATGCTATCAAACCCATGCTAACATAATGTTAGAATATTAGGTATTAATTAATCGACATGCTAATTAATATTTTCTTTCTTGTATCATTGTGAATCATTGACATATTAAATGTTGACAAACGTATAGCAATGTAATACAGTGTATCTTTTTATACAATCAAATAAAATCTGCAATACTTTGAAAAAAAAAAACAACATACAAATGAAAGAGGGAGAAAAAAGAAAAATGCTATGGTATAGATCATGTATCGCTGCAATCACTGCTTCCTGAGCTTGACGGGATTGTCAAACCGGTATGTACAGTTATCAATGCATCACAATTAACACTGAATGCCGGATAATACAAACCGCGTGGCATATTCCTTAAAGATAAAAATTATTTTGTTCACTTCATTTATATATCTTTAACATATTTACTTTATCAAAAGGGAAACCTTTCATGTATTCTTGAAGTACGTCTATAAGTACGTGAAAGTGTCGTAATTTCAGCAAAATAATTGATGAAAAAAAAACTTATTCCTAGCTCGTTTCTTTATCTTTTATGATATAGTATAGTTATACCGAAATGCAACTAATTGTCCTTCATATTCTCGTCGCGTATCGTTGACGAAGAATGCCAGAGTACCTTTATCACAATCCAATAATACACCGATCACAGATCCAACACCGATACCACCGATGATTCGACTATGATGCATTCCGTTATGCAAATACCACGAACGTTCTCCATCGATATACATTGACCAACCGTGTAAGTCTTTCCCTAAAATTACTTCACATTGACTAATCTCAATCCGTACCAATCATCCCCAACTCATTTTGGTATTATCGTTATTTTCTCCTCAAAATCTTCAAATATTCAGTGGTCAAGAAATAATCTGTACATTTATTTCAGCAGGATCAATATTCCGGATTTCCTGAAGGATAAAAAAAATGAGATAAAATAAATCGTTGGTTGTCGGAAGTGAAAGTTATACCAAGCATAATATGACGATTGAAAGCACTTTGCGCTACACCAACTACAACATCGGCATTTCCTGTATGACGTTCCACCGTTATCTCCCAGTAATGTGTTCCGCGAGAGAAGGCAATGGAACCACAAAGAGATCTATATTCCATTGTTGTTCCGGTCAATGACATACATTCATTGGATACGGTTAAATCATTTTGTGAAGCTGATTTACTCAATTGAAACCATGCCACTAAAAAAAAAGGGACGACTTAAATTCAAATTCACAGAAAACCGGTTAAACTTATGCTTGTATTAAAATGTATCAGTTTCGATCGGGATTCATATTTCCGGAATAAATGAAGTTATGCTAACCGGTAGCCGTTTGAAGACATATTATATCGCTATATGAACTTTCACCGGCTGCATTAAATGCTTTAACTCGCGCATTGTAAACTGTATTGAAATGTAAGCCATCAATTGTACATATCGTATCTCTGCCACAGTATACTTCCTGTAAAAAAATTGGATTTGCAATCATTCCCAGTTATTATTTTTGAAAATACAAATTAATTTGCTGTTTATTTGAAATAACAACAAAAAAAAAAAACACTAATTGGCCTTTCCTTCATCATTGCAACATGCACCCTTTTGCTACAGTATGCACAATTCACAGCAATTATTATGGCGTATGCACAGTTTACAGTAATTAAAAGCTATTACGGTACATGAGCAGTTTACAGCAACCAGAAATGAGTACGACAAATGTACAGTTTACAGTAGTCAGAAACTATTACGGTGCTTGCATAATTAAATCGTATGCATCAAAAACAAACCTTAAATAATCCATCACCAGAACCGGAATCAATCTCTAACATATAACCATCAATTGCACAATCATCATTTTGTGCTTTCCATACAATAGTTACTGAATTATTCTCCGCAACACATTCCGCCGTTTCAATTAAAGGCGCATTTGGTGCTATAAAAAAAAAATAATCAAATTCATGGATCAATCAATGAAATGAAATGGATCCTATTAAATCATCCAATCAATAATCAATCAATTAATGGATTATATTTAACTTTAATCACTTCTATAACTAATACAATAAATTATGAGGCAAAATACTCCATCTCCTCAATGATAACTATCACAACCACAAAACAATGACAATAACGAGACAATAAGGATACGATACATCGATAGATTTACTATGAATTATAAGTTAAGATTGACATTGACTCTATCCTTAATATAAATTTAATTAACTGATAAAATCATTTTGAATTGTTTATTTATTATTTAGTAATAAGTGAATAAATGATATAAATTCGTTTGATATTAGAAGTAAAAAATTTACAGATTTTACAGTTTTATACAGTTTTGGTATGGTTTTTTTTTAAAAAAAAAGCAATAACTATCAATATTAAGCAAACTTTTAGGTAGTAATCTAAGACTTCTTCTTAAATTGCATTTCAATAAATCCATTGCCACAACATTCTTTATTCAAATTTAAAATTTCAAATATTACTTAATTATATATCACATGCTATACTTAAATTTACTCTATTAAATAAACTTTACCAATGGTTGAATCACCGTTTCTTATCAATTGAATACCTGAATAAGGTAATTCTTTGATAATTATATTTAAGTATTGATTAGTATAAAAGAAAACTGTCCAAGTGTTCAAAAAAAAGAAGTAAACGAGGATGAAAAATCATTTTTTTTAAAAATAAACCATTTTTAAAGATTTTAAAAGAATTGTGCTATTCCATTAATATTATCCTTAAGATGTGAATTATCTGAAGAATTTATCATTGTTATCATTTGTTATCATTTATAATACACATCCAATTTAGTCTCTGTAGATTTAATAAGAATTTATTTTGAAATTTCATTTGATTTTAGTTTAGTTTGATAAGAATTCGTTTTGAAATTTATAGGCTAATAATCACCACCCCCATTAATTAATGTTTTCAGGTTTCATTGTCATTTAATAATTCCTTTTACATTGTCGCATCTATTTATTATGAAAATCTCCAATAACTCACACTGGAGAAAATTATCTTTCGTTAGTACGGTAGTTTCGTATTGAAATTCGACAATCAAATTTCAGGAATTTTTATCAGATTTTAAATTTCGACTCAAAAAAAAGATACCTTTCAATTGAGCAAAATCTAATGTCTGTATAGCGTACTCCAAATTATTCACATCTAAGTTTAGTATACGTTCAAACAAATGTTTTTGCAATACATTGTTCAACCCATTAACTAACTTTGCTATTAGATCGTGAACATTTCGCTGGATGACGTCATGCCTTTCATGCTGCACATTCCATAAGATATCCAAGTCATCCACTGTTACAGCATTTCT